AAAAAAAAACCCCCACCCCCCCCCCCCCCAATAAGCAAAATATCCACCTAGAGAAATGTAACTTATATGCTTCACTCAAACTTATTTTCATATAGAATTGATAGAACTGGGGGGACAGTGCAGGAGAAGAGAGGGGGAAAAATGGCAATAACTTAATAGGTTATTTATACAATTATATTAACACTTAAAAACTCTTCACATGTTCAGCTACAGAGATGACTGAGAAAGAAGCTGGCTGTTACCATCATATCCAAAACCTGTCATTAATATCAGTGGGTAAATATGGAACAAGAAATACACACAGCAACATAGGAAACATAATGTACCAAAACCAAAAGCAGCATGTCCTGACTTAATTTTGTCCTTAAATGAACAAGCCCTTTTCAAGTTTTATACTGAAAGCTTAAAGCCATGCATCATTTGCCATTCTATTTGTGAAGCATAAGGACAACTTAATCACTTCAGCTTCACAAGTGTCATATGAATAAAGAAAATAATTTTTAAATTTTGGTTATAAGAAATGGTGCTGCTACATCAAGCTCATAAGCTGTGATGTGACCTGCCCTAAAGATCCCAGCATTTAAAAATCTGTCTGATCATATTAATGATGAAATTCCCTCTGTTCCTTTACCTATCATCTTGTGACAGCTGATATACCACTACTGATTTATATGCAAAGAAATACATACAGACAAATGTCTGTATTAGTTAAGAACTATCCAAAAATTGCTAGATTTTGGATAGAAATGGAGTAAAAACATGAGCTGGCAGCTCAGACGTCTCACCTGTTAACACAGTAGTATCGACTCTGGGAAACGTAAGGTGTGCACTGGGTTTTTAACCTCTTCCTCTCCATCTCCTTCCAGCTATCTTCTGTACATTTTCTCTTGGCTTGTTTTTCTTCATGTTTTTTCTCCACATATTCTGCATATGTCTGGATCCTATAACTTTCAGCATACCGGCTGGTGTTTACAGCTATGGAAAAAGAGAATGATATTATACACAAAACACTTAAATGACAGCATGCCCTCTACTGAAATAGCTGATTTTGAAAAGCAGAAGGGTGCAAGCTATTTGTTCTGTTCATAAAACAATTTCTAGTTCCATTGTTAGCAATTAAAAAACCAAACCAAAACAAACCCAAAATGCCATATTCTCTAGAAGTCACAATGTCTGAACCAGATGCTCAAAGCTCTTCTGAAAGTCAGACTGCAAAAAGAGTTAAATCTACTTAAGACGTTTCTTTTAAATTAGAAACGATCAATTCTTCAGTCGTAACCCTCTTCCAGATTGCTTGTTGGCAAGAAAAGATTTCCTGGATTTTTTCCCTTTTAGTCTCATTACTTAACCCAGCAGGTTTATTTTGCAAGTCTGCCAGGAAAAGACGACATTTGCAAAGCCTTTGCCAAAACTCTGTTTGATTGCTGTGAAACATAAGCTTATTTGAGCTGCATTTTTGGTTGCACAAGATATCCATGGAAGAAGCACTTAACTAATAGCCAGCTGTTCCATCCTTGTATCTTTCTAATGTCTGATCTCCCTTTAACCAAAAAAGACTTCAAGTTCAAGGTAGAAAGATTTCTGTCAATGCAAAATTAGAAGCACTTTAAAACTAAACAGAAAAACTTTCACTGCCTCTCCTCAGTAACAATTTAACAACATTCCTTCAAGTCCCAGCATCTTCACAGCTCTCAGCCTCTAGTCTGCAAGCCAAGCTCTGGCCTGACGCCATCCCTGTAACAGATGAATCAGCAAATTAAACTGACTGTCAACTGGTGTCTTCTGCTGCTTTCAGCCTAGCTCTCTGAAAGAAAGTATTGTAAAGCAACCCTAAAGTAAACTAGTTTAAATATAAACCAAACAAAAAAGCCCCCCAAACCTCAGATTGTTTTTCTGTATGTTTCAAAATACCACAGTTGTAGGGGAGACAAAATCCGGATTTTATTATGTACTTCCAATTTTTTAGAGCAATTTCAGATGCATATCCCACTTCTGGACTCTAGTTGAGCTGTTCTACGTTCAGGTATTTTGTGCTACTTCTGGTGCAAGCATTAGAGATGGCAAGCTCCAACATCAAATTTCAGAAAAGGTGAGGAAGATGGATGAATGTGGTTTTCCTCCTCTTTCAGGATGGATCATCCATCCTGTATTTTTGCTTTGTAACAGTGAAATGAGATATCTATAATACCTGCCATGGTATATAAATGCTGCTGTTGAAACATACATAAAACCAGGCAAGAGTTAATTTTAATCCCCAGTGTAGATAGCAGTAGTTATGATTAACACCCCCGTGAGATTGTTGCACTAACCAATAAGTGTCAGACATACCTCCTTTCACCCCCCTTATATTTGTTTTGAACTACAAAGTTACAGGATGTGTTTGCAAGAATTAGGACAATATTTCTTGCCCATGAAGTTATGGGGCAGGCATCACAAATGAAATAATAAGGCTCACTGGAGTTTACTGCATGCCAGCCAACATTCCTCGGGGCAGATTTTGTTTAGTTAAACTCAAGCATGTTTTTACTTGCTAAAATCAAGCACAAAGTTACCATGGATCATCTGATACATACTCATTTGTTAAAACACAATAACTTTATTTGTTTTGCTACAAGCTATGAACCAAAGTTAGGGGTCTGCCATTTAATTCCCAGACAAACTCAGCCCTTTTTTAAGGAACAAAAACAAATAATTTGAGGCCTAAAGATAATTCTAAAATAAATCTGTGCAAGAGTCAGTATTTTTGTACAAAGACAACTCTGCTTTCTTGAAATAAGGCACGTATTTTACAGCAATCCATTCATATGGCACACACATACACACACAAATATATGTATATACATATATAGCATATATATTTGATATAAAATGTTACATGCTGAATAAATTGCTTCATCATTGAAAAACTGAAATGAAGGCATATGGAGAAGTCTAAGGAGCCACACAGATAAATCAATTGTGCATGGTCTTGAACTGAAGAGCAGCTCCCTGTAAGAGTTCAGTACATTTTCCCTGATGCTTTTTTGATGAATGCTGTCCATATTGCCAAACAAAGCAAATACAGTTAGGTCATTCTGCACTCCCAACAGAAGAGATGCACTGCTAGAATACTCTGAATTCTAAAAAACTGAAGAGAACTTAGGGGGACTACTTATTTATTTCTTTAAATTTTAAGAGATGAGAAAAATCTTTCTGTGAGAAACCTGACCTAGTAACCAACACCGTGTGGTTGCATTTCACATTAATTGCAGCCCTAAAGTTTCTGTCTCATAGCAGAATAATAGTAATTGCAATTTATTTTAGGAAAAGCACTTCTAGAGGATGGCACCTTCCCTTGTTATTATGGAAGACATCAAGCAGGCTGACTGTCATTGAGTGGTTCAACAGGAATGTGTACAAAGATACCCTCTTGCCAAGTCCTTGCTTTTATGCCGAGCAACATCCTGACAGATGGCCACTGACAATACTAAGCCTCTTAATAAATAGACAAATATGTTGGTGAACTTTGTAGGTAAAAGAAGAGCTACAAAATATAAATGCAACAAACACACAGAGCTATACAGATTAAGGCTGCAATATTAAACACTTATGCTTATGAAATACTGAAGTAAAATTTCACCTGTGAAGCCTTTAAGTGACCTCTGTATTGATTCTGCATTAATCTTATCTGATCATGTTCTACTTAAAACATGGGACCACTGCCTCAGCCAGAGCAACAGTGTGCAATTAGTGAGTAGCTAAGTCAGTGCTTTGTTTTACTCCCAATACTCACCATATGGTTCCACAGCCTTATTTATTGACTACCAGGGCTATTCATGCCACAGGTAACAATCCAGAAGTTTGCCATGATGACAAAAGTGCACATGCATAGTCTGTGGACTCTGTGTCTAACTCTGAAACAGAGAGCCTGTAGAAATTACAGGCCGCATAGCTCTCTCAGTCCTGCCTGAGAAGCTAGCCTGAGAAATTCATGGGAGGATTCCAAACAATCCTCAAAGACAGGGAACAGCCTTGCAAGTGTTGTTGTCTGTCTCTTGTTTTCTTTGCAGGAGAAAGTCAGGGGGTAGTGTGCACCACTGACCAATGACGGTAATGTAGTAGTTTACTAACCAATAAGACTTTCCTTTCTGTACTTTCCACGTATCAGTCTATAAAACAGAGCTGAAGTAATAAACTACGAGACATTCTCCTGATCGACTCCAAGAGAGTCTGTGTCGTTCATTCCCAGCCGTTCCTAATAGAGCGACAATAGTCCAGTATTTCAAAGTAAAATTCAGGAGTGGAAGCAGTAGCGCTGTGTGCCTATTTTATCAACAGAAAGCAGAAGACTCAATGTCCCAAATTAGAGAGCATCTTTTAAATTAACCTAAATGGAATTAAACTGTCCTCTACAGAACATTCAGGACTGAGCCCCTCCACAGCAAATGTACAGACATATTCCCAGAGAAGCTATAAATCCTAAAGAAACCACATGATCATGTAACTATGGACATTATGAAGGTGTAAGCAGAATTCAACTATATTTTGTTAAATATCAGTGAAATTATCAGTGTAACATTAATGACCCCTTTTGTTAGCCTATATATAGCTTTCAGTCTTTCAAGCATACCTGGACAATTTCTGCTGCAAGGCATCAAAACGTTAACACACGACTAATTAGCTGGACCAGAGTCTCTTAAGTATATTTAATAACAGCAACTATCTGCAGGCTGTACCCAAACTGATAACACCAATTTGTAAACGGTGCTGCCCATCCCTTTGTTTTCCTCTTGTGTATCAGGTGAGTATCAGCTTAAGATAGAAGACGCTTATACAGATTCTAAAAAAAGAGTGTTGTACAAAGGTTGTTCTCTCTCTTGGTATCTGAATTCAGACCAAAGAGTAGTATAAATGCAGGGACAAAGCAGCTCTTCACCTTGCAAAGGAGGATGGCAAGTCAGAGAGCAAACCAAAATGAGGCTTTGAACCTCCATGCTGGAGAACAGGGGAAAATGCACAAGTGATCTGAAAGAAAATGTTTTTACTGAAGGAAAATACACTGCTAAGTACAAAGTATGCAAAAAAAAGTGGAAGGGCCCTTATGCAAAGCTTAAACTTAAAATATTTTCTTCAACAGAGATGATAGTGTAAGTCCACTAACACGTCTCATGCTACGCACATGTATGTAGATTGTTATAAAGGACTTCAACTCCCATAGAGATGAAGTTTTTTAATTACCAAAAGAATTCAAGCTACTTAACCTTTCCACCCCATTAATTATCTCAATAATTAATACATTTCACAGCTTTTGTTTCAACTTATTTCAAAAATTCCAAATCAAATGAAAAGGTAGTCACAAGACTTCCAACGTTAAGAAAAACTCCTATTCAAACTTATGGGGTACAAAGGGCATTTTGGGTTTGGGGTGGTTTTTTGTTTGTTTTGTTTATTTATTAGCTGATGAAAAAAAAATATGGCTGCAGACACCTTGAAGGTGAATCTATAATCTGTCCTCTTAATTCCACATCAGTAATGTTGGAAGTTGTAAAATAGCTATCTCTAATATGATTTATACCACAGGTTCCACTGTAAAACCAGTAATTCATTTTCCTGCTGCTCTCAAGATTCCTGAACAACACAAGCTGAAATTCACCACATCTGAATCCCTGCATTTACTACAAATTTTAAATAAACACTGCAGAATTTTAACTCCCAGGATTGCTAGTAAACTGTTCATATCTGTGAACCTACAAATTAAAAGCATAACATGTTCAGAACATTTTCATTCTAGTCAGAAAGTCTCCATGCCTATTATTGCTCAAAGCACAGCGAGCTCAGACCTGCAGGACTTTCAGATAGAAATGGGCACAGTCTGGCCCCACAGCTGATTTCACCTTGGTACCAAATGGGAGCACCTGTGCTCTGCTCCTCAGCCCCACTGCTTCCCTGGGCACCCTGTTCCAGTGCTTGACAACCCTCTCAGTGAAGAAATTTCC